TCTCTCTCTCTCTCTCTCTCTCTCTCTCTCTCTCTCTCTCTCTCTCTCTCTCTCTCTCTCCGCATCTACTCTCAGCCTTACGTTCTATCTGAATACCTCTTGATGCCTCTCTTCCTCTCTCACCTCTGCTTGACCTAGGAACAGCTGTTGCACCGGGCGTCGACAGCCCCTTCATGGCACAATGTACAACAATGCGTCTAATATAGCGCAGCAGCACTCCCGGCTGGTCACGCAAATGGATATGTGTTGACAACTTCAACAAGTGGACTTTTATATCTGGTGTTTTGCTTCAGGACTTCCTCTTCCGGTTATGGGCTGGGCCCCTTGCTGATGTTTGTTGTCACTTCCAGAAGCTCCCTGACTTTTCTGGGACTTTTGCTGCTGAGCGGACCACAAAAAGGTCTACCAACTTCCGCGAACCTTTTCCTAAGCCTCTACCGGTACCTACCAAAATCTTCCTATGAAGTCCTGGGGGTGGTGATAGCTTTAGGCGCGACTATCATGATATCATTGTGGCAAGCGGCCTTGTACCCGAGAGGCAGAGTAAAAGGGGAGCTGAAAGAAGAAATGAAATAGACACCGTGAGAAAATCCAAAAAAAAGGATATAAACTTTAATAAAGTAGCTAGTAGTACACAGAAAACTGAGAAAAAGGGCAAAAAGAGCGGTTTCAGTGTTCCTCATCCTGCGATTCCTGCCTGCGCTTTTCTTCATTCGCTTCGAAAAGTGCACTCTTTCAGTTGATACATATGTGTGGCAATATATACTACCGACAAGTACACCGTACCGTTTCAACGTGCTTTTAATAAGTGAATGACCTAGGACCCTTGGTAGCCTCCCATACCAGAAATTGGGGTACCATCATTACTTCAGAGGTTCAGATACTCTTCGCTAAAGAAAAGCCACCTTTGGTGGTGGCAGCTTCCTCAGCTGCAGCCAACAAGGGGTGTAAATGCGAAGGTGTAGGAGATAAAAGACCTGCTGAATTTTTTTCTTAAGACCAGCCTCTCTGCCTGCTAGAGGGGGTGATATCTCCCTCTAGTCACGGTAGGCCCGGCGCTGGTCGCGCCAGTCTATTGGTGGGTAGCAGCCCCTGCTGGAAACCAGGTCCAGGCTGTCCAGCGTCCCAAATACATTCAGGATCCCTCTACCATCAGCCTGCATCAGGGCCATAACCTGGCTTCAGCTGAGAAAAATAGTGAGCCTGCTCAACAACTTGAAGACAAGTGAAAAAAAACTTAGAGAAAAAGTATGGGCACCAAATGGGACACCCATGTACCTGCTGATTAACAGACCTGAGTTCAACATTTCTGATGGGACACCATGCTTCACAGTCAGATACACAAAATGCAACCCATAATATCCGCAACACGGTGCAATGATGCGATCGCAACCCAGTGCCCTACTGGAGGTAAGATAGTACCTGTGAAATCTGACAATCAGGACAATAAATACTGATGAATACAAACCATAGTTGCGGCGCACTGGTACGGTGCGCAGTGCAGCGCGGGGCGCTGTGCGCCATGCGCGAGAGAGTGGTGCACGTGCACGTGCACGGAAAAAAACAACAACAAAAAAAACAGCTGCGTCTGTGTGTGTGTGTGTGTGTGTGTGTGTGAGAGAGAGAGAGAGAGAGAGAGAGAGAGAGAGAGAGAGAGAGAGAGAGAGA